TGTAGGGGGGAAGGGTGTAGGGATGATACACTGTAGAGACAGGGAGGGGTGTAGGGATGATACACTGTAGAGACAGGGAGGGGTGTAGGGATGATACACTGTAGAGACAGGGAGGGGTGTAGGGATGATACACTGTAGAGACAGGGAGGGGTGTAGGGATGATACACTGTAGAGACAGGGAGCGGTGTAGGGATGATACACTGTAGAGACAAGGTGGGTGTAGGGGGAGTGGTGTAGGGATGATACACTGTAGAGACAGAGAGGGTGTAGGGGAGAGGGGTGTAGGGATGTGCAAAAGAGACCAGCAGCTGAGCCAGACTCTGATGGGTCTGACCCCATGTCAGAAATTGATTCTGATTCATCAGAAAGTTCAGATGACAGTCACACTGACATTGAATGATTGAAGGGCGGTTTTGATTGACATCCTAATGACATGAGTTCTGCTACTTAATAAAGATACTGGCAGAGGATTTGAAAGCTTTTTAATATTTGTAAACTTATTTAACTCAGTCAGGGTTTTGTTCTTTCTTTGTTGTTGTCGTAATCTAGTTATGTCATTGCGATTATTTGCCAAAACACATTACCCATAGTTAGGATACAAATAAATTATTTAATAAATGTAGCAACCGGGCCACCTGAAAATCCATTTGGCCACCTGAATCTCATACTCAAGTGGCCCGGCCGGCCACCTAAAAAAAAGTCAAGGGCCAGCCCTGTTATATGTATATATGCATATTACAAACGAATTACAGTTGTACCGCTTTATCTGGCCTCATATAAAGGGACACATTACTTTAACAGTATGTCTTTGGAAAAATCCTTGCGCACGTTATTTTAACCGAATAAAGGGGAGAGGACCTCGGTTAAACAGGATATTTTCTGTAGAACAAGCTTTCAATGTTGTAGAAAAATCCTAATCTTAAAAGCAATTATCAGCTTTTCAGAAAATTTTGGATATAATAAGTTAACATTTTTTAAATCTAAACTATAATGTTTAATGTACTCTACGCACTTGTTGTTACATGCAGTCATTCTCTTTGCATTCTCTTGCATTTGTTCTTGCAGCGCATTCTCAATGAGTGCCCTGCGTCCAGTGTACACCAGATGTGGGATATTAATTCTGATTCTGATCTCCTTTTCCTGCATACATGATTAAATAGGCAATACATATGTTCGCCAATGTTTACACGCATTCATAATTGTGGTTGTACTAAGGAAGATCAGAGGATTTTCTACTTCTTTTGTCCAAAAACCTTTTGGCAAAACGCTTATTCAAATATATCATGGAAGTCAATGGGATAACATGATTCATGTGATCTGATAACACCGATTTTCCCGTAATGAAGGTTTTTAATGTAACGTGTTACTTTAATAACGCAGGGTGTTACTGTAGCAAGAAGAAAACAGGCTGCGTAGGGCCATAAGTGAGTCTCCAGTGATCCCTTGGCAGCAGCCCTGGAAATATTTTTACATGATCGAAAATGTTTAAAAGAAAAACGTTCTGCTTAATTTCAGAGTGATTAGACACACAGCTATTAATTCGGCCAATTATTCTGTCACGGACAAGTTTAGAGTGCAGGTGTATGAGCACTCAGGCTCCAGACAAATTATTGGAAAAAGAGATGTTCCAAGCACACTTCTGCCAGGTAACACAGTCATGAGTGATCAAACAATTTGAATCAGATATGCAGGTTCAGGAGTAAATAATAATACCATGAATGTTTGTTCATAATAATACATGTTTATATGATAAGCTGTGGTTCCATGCATATGGTTATACCATAGCAGCTTATCCTGTGTTTTTAATATAATTTTTCATAATTAGTAAGCATTGCTGTTGATAGTTATTAGGTGAAGGATTATTAGCACGTGCTTTCATCTTCTATAGGGATGCAGGAAGAAAGGGAGAGACATATTAGTGATTTGGATCAGTTTGAACAGCTTCCCCGTTCTCAAGTTACTAGACATCAGGCATCAGCACAGTATAGGCTTTCAGATAGACATGACCGACGAGAAGGTGCAACCCTTATGTTTCAGCTGTTATCTGCAAATCTGCAATGCTAATCAATCTGTTAATTGCAAACTTTTCTTATTCATTTGCTATAAATAAAGTTACGTAGTTAAACGTCTGCAAACGCAAAACGTCTAATCTCAACGGTACATTTAAAAAATGATTTGCATTTAGACACGATTTTCAAATGCACAAGTGTAACTGCATTTGCTAGAATCAATGTGATGTTTACTTTAACCTAAACTCTAAATACCACCCCTAGGAGGCCACGAGACATCAACATCAACATCAAGTATCATGGTGATCATGGTGGGAGTGTTATGCGTGCTTGCACTGATGCTACCACTTGTCGGTGACCAAGCTTCTTCGTGGCCGGATTACCTCCATATTAGCATTCATCAGAAACTTATATCAGCCTACGTGCTAGGTGCGTTAATACCCTCTATTGTTTTGTTACTGGATTGGAGTGCAACACAGTGTAAACCATATATAACCATGAACATATCTATACTGATGTATAAATATGGTCATGGTATAACACGCACGCACGCACGAACATATATATATACTCACACATATTATCAGGAGTAAGATAATATAGATCTATATTATCTTACTCCTGATATTATAGATATGTTCATAATGTAATTTGTGGTCAAAATATCTGTAATGCTTGCGATCCTTTTTTGAGCAAGATCTTTTTATTGCAGGACTGATAACCGTAGTCTTGCTTCGACCAACGTGATACCAAGGTCATACCATTGTATAGTATGGTTGGACTCGGGATCTACGTCTGCAGCGCCACAGAAAATAACATTGCTCCGATAATGAAGCTATGCATTGGACTATTTTGCCGCTATGGAATGTAAGCCAGTAGAGTTTAAGATAAGAACGTAGAGAGTTTAATCATCGAGTTGGCAAAGGCATCAATCTCAATACTATTCGGACGCCAGTTTCACACACTCACCATTGCACACTACTGTGATACTTCTCTTATTGGATTGTGCCGAGTTCACCCTATTCAAATGACTCAATTAGTTTTACGTTGACTCACAGTAGTTTTTGCGGTCCTTTTGTTACTAATAGAAATGTAGAATCGAAATTACAGGCTATTTCTGTGGCTACTGTGTACCTGTGGTACTGAACTGATACCCAAAATTTACAATAGTGTACCTATTAGTCACAAAAGAAAAAACTATCCACACATGCATTTTCATTACCGTGATACAAAGCATACGAATAGTTATGGGCATGCAGAGAATTTTGGCAATAGGCGCTAAAAACGGTAATGAACTTTGATTCAGTATTTATTCGTTTTGGTAAATTGCTATAAAATCGTCAACAAGTGAATGAGTGAAAACTCACCTTGCATAACTTATGTGCCATCCTCACCATTCCATTGTAAGGTAAATAACATAAAATGTATGAATGTATAGACTATTTATTTATTGCAGTGATTCTAGTGATTCTGCTATGTGGGAAGATTCTGCAGCTGTATTGTGAACTGGTTTTATGCCAAGAGTATATATTAGACCTGGCACAACAATGTAATTTTAGTTAAACTTGAGATTATAAAACTATGATGGAAAGTAGGGAGGATGAGTTGAAACATTTTTATAATTCATGTCATGAACATGATATAAAACAATGTACACCAAAATGATAGAGGAGAAATGGGCTAATGGTACACGTTTTACTGTATATAGTAATGAATACAGAAGGAATAGGTCTTATCCCAATTATACATAGTTTCATAATGCCCAAAAATACTTGGTGAAATTACAAATGGCTTTTTGTGATCAAGTAAGTTTACAGTGTTTGTAGACATACACATGCATTAAATTATATCTATAGTCAGACGTGTATTCTTCATGTATTGTCATGTATATATTGTTATTTCTAAAGAAATGGATGATACCATTGAATAATAAATTAATGCTAAGTGGGGAAGGAAATGTAATTCTGACATGTTGTTGCATGAAATTTGCACTTGAAATTAATGCGTGTTTGCACAAAGTAGAGTAAGATCAAGGTGTTAAAAACGTTACTATATATTTGTACTTTTATACCATTTGTATGTGCCTATGGCTATGATGTATTAAGCTAACAGTGAGTGAGATGCTAATTAGAGCATACATGCAGTATTGCCCACTTGTGTGGATCATTAGTGATACTGAGCCACGTTTTGCAAAGCCTCGTTTACTATAAGCACTTATGCATAACAAAGTCATAACTGGGGCATGAGAGAGGGGGCGAGGAGATGAGGAGGGAGGGAGCTAGGGAGAGAGAGAGAGAGAGGGGGAGTGCTCTATTAAATAGCAAATAAAAAACTTTTATTGAAACGCGGCCAAGGCTCTTTACATTGCATGGTTCTTTCCAGGCCTTGACACAATTTGGGTTGGACATGCCTTCAAAACTGAGGCAAATTTGCGACATCCCGAAAATTCTTCAACATGCCCCAATTTCCATCTGTCTTTATTTTTGACAATCCCAACATAGTCATTCTGTATTTTTACAGCTTTATGTATTCGTCTCTAAACTGATTGACTGTACCAGTGTATTGGGACAACTTACAACACGCGTAATTGACGCCAATTAGCAATTGGAGATGAATTGCCTGATTACCCAACATGTCTTTGAAACTCCTGGGGAGAACCCTACATTCTTTATTCACAGATCCGAAGTAATGTGGGATACTATGATCAAATTCTCAAAGGAGTAGCAATTAAGAAATAGTTAAGCCTCCGGGGTCACACCTTATTACGTTTTTCTGTGTGAGGTGGTGCTGACCATCGGACCAATGACTTCGAAATGCAAGTAGTCACAAAACATCGATGTCTAATTCGTCTGTGCCAAGTCTGTCATCTGATTGTGACACAAAATGTCTCTGCAAAACCACGAGCCCAGCGGCTGCACGTCTGTACTTTTCTCTCTCTTCGTGCAGCTCACAGGAAATCGCCTGCAGCTTCCTTTCCTGCTCCTCCGTGTGTTGGGAAGCTTCCTGCTGCAGTCGCTCTGTTACCAGGAGCTCGTTTTGCCCCATCTGCATCTTCATTTCGTCAACTCTCACCTCTGCTAGTCTGCGCTGCACATGCTCCAGTGCCTGATCTTTCTGTAGCTTGTCAAGTTGCGCCTGTAGCTCATGGTTTTTCCTTCTGGCTTCCTTCAGAAATTTGTTGCATTCAAAGAGCTGTGTATTCGAAGAGCTCAGCTCTGCCTTTAGATTTGGAAAAGTAAACAGCTACATATAAATGCCATCCATAGGGACAACTGTGAAACCCCACATTTATAATAGATTACTGCATATTCAATGTATAGTCCCCAAACCAATATGTATTCACACAGTATATTTACATATGCATGTATTCATTTTTTAAAAGAATCATATCAATTTTTACAAAAACTCAATTAGAACATGAAAATTTATGCAGCGATACAACGAAACTGCACAAATTCTACTGCATACATAGCAATAGCAGATCATACCTGTAAATGTTGTCTCAGAATATACTGCCTGTGGTTTGCTTTACCGGCTTCCTGTAACAGTGCGGTTGTCTCTTCGAGCTGCACAGACTTGACATCAAACGAAGTCTTTAGTTCATTGAGTTCCGTTTCTTGGCATGCTAATGTTTTCCTCAGTGAATTATTTTCCATCCTGTATTTAGAGCACTGTTCACCAATGATATCACTTTCCATGTCAGACCAGATAGAAGTAGCTTGTTCCCCACATGATGAGGCTTTGTCCACCATCACTGTAAGAGAAACGTGTTTATTTATTTAAAAAATACTAATGCAGGGTTCGAAATTACTGGCAGAAAGCACTAGTTTTGTTCCCTACAAGGGTCAGTTTGCTGCTTGCTGTCAACGTCGGCAGCAAATACTCGCTGCCAAGAAATTCCTAATAAACCAAAGTAAAAGCACCAAAGATTCTGCCTGGGAAGGTAAATTTGCTGCCTGCCTTTTTCTCTGGCAGCAAGTACTTGCTCCCTGGTAAAAATGTCAATTTCTAACCCTGCAATGATAGCAAAGACTCGATCATTCCATGAGCAAGATGACGATGTAACTGGCCTAGCTTGAGCGAGATAAACACATTCCATTGAATACTGATCAGTGATTACTGCTGCTAGGCTAGACACGCTAATGATACTAAGTACTGTTTTACTACATCCTATTGGAACACTGGTTCATGCAATTTTTCGAGTAAATACCTGTGTAAATACCTGGTTTTGTCAAGATCTTCTGAACATTTAAATTATTTTGTACACAAGATCCATCAGTTGACTTGACAGGCATATCCAATTCATCACTGATAATCATGGCCTGCTTATATATAGCACTGTAACAGGTAAACAGGCTTTCAATGTTAGAAGTAAATACTTGCTACTAAGAAATTCCTAATAACACAAGGTATAAGCACCAAAGTTACAAACAATGAGATCATGACCACAATTTAAAAGGAGTCACACAAGACTCTTGATAATGCAAATACGGAGCAACATATAAAACAGGGAGTATACGACTTCGGAGTATCATAGCCAGTGTGTGAGAGGAATACTCGAATATATTGCAGCCAATCTCATTATCATACTCTTTTGGCTGCATCATGTACTGTAGACAAACTACAAATATCGGTTTACCGGATTTGTTCTATGTCAAGAGGAATTCGTTTCAACGCTTTCTTCTCATGCTTAGAGCTTTCACAGCCTTTGTCCTTCTTGAATAGATCATCTGCTGTTGTGAGGCTTGGTGGGAAAAGTTTTTCGATCCAATGAGGCTCCATTTCGATTCTCCAAGTTCTGTAACAGCGGTTGAGAGGGAGTAAACACATGCTGTACCTGTAACATCTGGGGTACCACAGGCCACTATAGCTGAGAGGGTCTATGTCCCCATGCAGGGTACTGCCGGAATGTACCCTGGGTACAGTCCGGTATAAAGGAACGAACGTACCCTGGTGGCTGGTACTATCTAATATGCCGGACCGTACCTCGCCTACTCCACTAACGAGTCTAGGGAGTCGTCTACACCTACTCTCTAACCCTAACCATATCAGATAGTTACCAGGGTACGTTCCAGTATACCGGACCGTACCCAGGGTACGATCCGGCAGTACCCTGGGGGACAGAGACCCTATGAGCGCCACTATATTGGGACCCTTTTTTTCTTATGCCATAAAAATGACCAACCAACTGATCTAAGATCTCAGACTCAATTACTTGCATATGGCTGTCTGATCTACAGTCAAATAAAAAATCGGCATGATCACCAAGTTCTCCAAGATCGTCTCCATCTACTCGGGAAGTGGACCGACACGTGGGGCATGCATTTTAACACCAGTACATGCACTGTCATGAACATGCACTGTAAGTCCGAGTGGATCGATTAAGTCAATCCACTTTTGCATACTGCACAGCCAGATCCTAAAACAGGCAACTGAACCTATACCTGGGAGTGACTATTGCTGAAAACCCGAGTTGGAGCCCTAAAATCACTAAGCACACCCAAACGGCTAATGCAGTCTCATCACCTTTGAGGCGAGACCGTTGAAGCGTCTGTCCTGAAACAAGCAAAGGGACATCACATTGCACTTGGAATACGTACTTGGATACGTACAGGCACTTGGAACGTTACAATAATAAAATGAAAGTGTCAATGACACTGTAGCTCACCACAAAAAAGGACACAAATGAGTGAGTGAGAAGAAGTCAGTTTTAATTGAGCGACCATCGACGTACATTATAGAAACGATTGCCATCTGTATATCGCAATAATAATTTATAAACCAAAATGAATCACAATTTGTGACCGTAGATGGCGCTATACCCACTTTGTAGCGATGGCGTTTGAAATAAATAGGTTATGCTGCATTCCGACATGTTTTGTAAATCTTTACTCTAATATAGACATTTTATCGGCAGGGTGGAGAGGAATTACCAATTTTGCATTAAAGATATTGTCAATGAAATCTTGTAAAACGAACCAGACGAGTGTGACACCACACTGTTTGTGTCTATATAATATGCTATATAATTGCCAAACCCTACCTAATTTGCATAATTTTTTTTTACATATCAAAACCCCTAGCCCTTATTCATTCACATACCAAAAATGAGCAAAATCCGTTGAACCTGAACTGACTAATGGCAATTCCCATTTTTGCCAATAAATTGCCGTGGCTCGAAAGTGCTTCAACTGGCGTGCTTCAAAATAGGACGTTTAATATGGGAGCATAGCAGTAACAACTATACCCAATTTTAAACATGTGGGCCAAACGGTTCCTGAGTTATCGTTGACCGAAGCGAAATGTTGACGGACGGACGTACGACGACCCATGGCAATAGCTCAGCTTGACGATGTCAAGGTGAGCTAATGATAGTAAATAAACAAGAAATGTATTTACTATCAAAATCTAAATGTTTCTCTACTCTCTTTTGCCTATTATTGCCGATAATTTCCTGTAAATGCCGTTCAAATGCTGCTCTGCAACACACAAGTATACCGCATGCACGCCGCTGTGCACAAACAAGAATAAAGAGAATATAGAATATACATTATACAACAAATAAGAATACAGCAAGAACAAAGAACAAATAAGAAGACAACAAGAATAAAGAATAACTCTTTATTCTTGTTGTCTTCTTATTTGTTCTTTGTTCTTGCTGTATTCTTATTTGTTGTATAATGTATATTCTATATTCTCTTTATTCTTGTTGTTTGTGCACAGCGGCGTGCCTGCAGTATACTTGTGTGTTGCAGAGGAACACTTGAACGGCATTTACAGGAAATTATCGACAATAATAGGCAAAAGACAGTAGAGAAACATCATGACAACAAATGTTTTCGTTAGTTCGGAGTTCAGCACATATACATGTACATACATTTAAATTTGCGTACAGTACATTGATAGTCCGGGGTTCAAACTTTCTCTTTCTTAATGTCTGTAATTGATGTCTGTTTAGAACCTTCCGAAATGAGTGAATCCATGCGAGATCGTAGCAGGGACACTGTAGAAATGTCACGTTCAGTAGAATACGCGTTCGACTCAAAATATCGCAACACAGTCTGAATTGACCTCCGAGCATCAAATGATGATGGGGGCGGAATCTCTACCAGTTCATCGTCATTTCCATCATCATCATCATCATCATCATCATCATCATCATCGTTGGCCGAATTTCTGTCCCACTCGACCATGTCAATAATTTCGTTATCTTCGAGATTCGCGGTAGAAGCTAGTTCACTGTCAACATTAACAAACTCGCTCTCTGTCATCAGCATGCTCAGATCAATGTTGAATTCGGTCGCTAATCGTTGAAATAAATTTCGTTTGATGGTATCTGAGTGTGATGTCGACGGAGTTGGAACATCGCTGACAGTAGGTTGTAGGTCAGCTAAACTGTCAAAAATGTCACATCCGCCGTCCTGATTTTCTGCAGTTGGCACCGAGGCCTGTGACGGTGTTTCATAGAAATCATCTGGCAAGAGTTTTGAGTGTTTATAACAGTTCTTAATTGTGTCGCGTGACACTCGATCCCATGCGGCTTTAGCGTATCTGATTGCATCATTAAGTTGAATTTTCGGAGGACGATTACTGTCAATATCGTCAATGAGATGCTGTACTTGCATGTGACGATAATGGCTCTTCATGTCTTGAATGACGCCAGCATCCATAGGCTGTATATGCGACGTTGTGTTTGGTGGCAAAAAGTGCATCTTTACATTGCTCATATTAATTTCGCTTAACTCATTTTCAGGTGCGATATGAGAATGTGCATTATCTAGTAGCAGCAGTACTTTACGGCTTTGATCCTTCATTTTAGTATTGAAGGCTTCGAGCCAATCATGGAACAATAATCCTGTCATCCGGACATTTTTGTTGGCGACGTAGTCACAGTACAAACTCACTTTAAAGTTTTTAAAGCAATGGGGTTGTTTGCTTTTTCCGATTACAAAAAGACGACACTTTTCACTGCCATCAGCATTGACACATAGAGCTAAGGATATTCTACTTTTCAGTTTTTTGGTCCCATTCTGGCGCGTTGTCAGTGATCTGTCTGGTATCATTGCAAAATATAACCCAGTTTCATCCATGTTAAAGACGTTCCGTGGAGAATAGTTTTTAATCACGTCTTTAGCTTTCTCTATTCCCGTTTTAATCACATCTGCATCCACACCAGCACTCTCACCGCAAATTTTACGACTAGATATTCCAAAACGGTTCTTACATCGACTGATCCAACCATTAGAATAAGTAAAATCATCACCAATGTTAAGTTGTTCTCCAAAATACATTGCTTTCTTCCGTAAAATATCCTGCGTAACAGGGATATTTTTTGCCCTGGCTGCCGTGAACCACAACAATAGGGCTTTTTCCATGTCCGCGTGTTTAGCAGGTCTCAATCTTTTTGAGCTGAGCGTTGATGTAGACATCTTGGCAAGCCACTTGTCAGATGCCTGTAGGATATCTCCGACAGTTCGTCTTTTTATTTCTCTACCCCACAGAGCAGTGAAATGATCGGCAATTGCTTGTTGCGACTTCATGGGATATTTTTGAGAAAATTCGCAAATTTCACGTTTTTCACGAGCCTGCAAGGCAACACGACTGCGAGGTCGCTTTGTTGGCGCCATACTGGCCATACTACTAGCAAATGAATGTGATGCAATACTGTAAACTGTACTACATGTATTAGGCTATAGCCTAATGCTATTATATATAGGACTCGCGTGGATGTGCTGTGTATGTTACCATAGAAACTGAACAACCGATACCGACCAACACTCTCGATGGCGGTATAACGAGTGTATTTTTGACGAGGTTATCACACAATCACAACGACCTGGGGATTGTTTAGACGACTTGACCTTTGACATTACCCATGATGCTTTGCAACGCTGTTGCCTGTGGCTGTGGCTGTGGCTGTGGCAAACTGCCAAACTGCATGCAGTGCCTGCCAGTGGCGTAGCTAGGATTTTTTCAGCGTGGGGGGGCACTGGGGGGCCTTACATTTTTGTGGGGGGGGGCACAATATACAACTTTTCTTTGTATTATACTGTTCTAACGGCATTGTTTTTAATTTAATTTTTTTTTTTTAAGCATGAATTTTTAGTGGGGGGGCACCTGGGGGGGCCCAGAAAATTTG